TAACAACGATCAACATTTCTGTCATATAACGGTCAACATTTCTGTCACATAACAACGGTCAACATTCTGTCACATAACAACGGTCAACATTCTGTCACATAACAACGGTCAACATTTCTGTCACATAACAACGGTCAACATTTCTGTCACATAACAACGGTCAACATTTCTGTCACATAACAACGGTCAACATTCTGTCACATAACAACGGTCAACATTTCTGTCACATAACAACGGTCAACATTCTGTCACATAACAATAATCAACATTTCTGTCACATAACAATCATCAAAACGTACAAAAAGTCAAACCTATTTATCTATTTGTATTCAAACCATAGCAGTTTAATAACAAATTTTTTTGAAGAAGTTTGTTCTACCAAAAAATTATAAATTTCAAGTAAGCATGAATAAACCAAGAAACAACTGAATCATTATAAATTTCAACTTTAAATACGAAGTTCAGTTTTTACACTGTTAACTGTAGTTAGTTAGACATTAACAGAATAAAAAATAATGGTAATTTTTTCTGCCATTGGAACAAAGAAATCTTGATGGCATTTTGGTCATATCATTCTCTTTCTTTGCGTAATCTTATTATAAAGTAATTCGTATTATTCAGATGTGTTTTGATTTAGTGTTGTTAATTTTCAGGATTTTCTGGTCTTGTCTCAGCATTTAACTAAACATCAGCCCTGATGAGAGGCTTAGCACAGAAATTCAAACGCCACCTACTTCTAAACATCCAGGCAGATGTATTATACTATAGTCTCTACTGTTTGTTTGTTTGTTGTTAAGCACAAAGCTACAAAATGAGCTGTCTGTGACCTGCCCACCACAGGTATCGAAACCCGGTTTACTAACGTTGTAAGTCCACAGGCGGGGGGGGGGGACAGTCTCTACTGTCTTCCAAACAAGATAATATAATGATTCGAAGATTGTTTGTTTTTAATTATGCACAAAGCTACACAAGGGCTATCTGTACTCTGCCCACCACGGGTATCGAACCCCGGTTTCTAGCGATGTAAGTCTGCAGACATACCGCTGTGCCACCGGGGGGCTGATTCGAAGAATAAGTGAACATGCCGCATTCCTCTCGTATGTTGTACTTCGAACTCGAATGTTTTGGTACGTCATAATCGGCTATACGCACTCTGTCCACCGCGGGAATCGAACCCCGGATTTTAGCTTTGTGCGTCCCTAAACAACAACTTTTGCAGAATTGCCCTAGTTCTAGTACTGTCCTAAAATAAATATTTATTCAGTGCGTGACATTCACCACAGCAACGTCAGGGAGCGCAACAACGCATGCGCATAAAATGACTTTCGTAATATTCAACTCAAGGTTCAATTGCACCAAATTTTTAGTTTGTATTTTCAACTGTTATTCTAATGTAATGTTGTGGGCGATGTTTTTTTTTAATAATCCACTATCATGTGGGGCACGACCTACTTCTTAAGGGTTTTATTGACCGTTCTTTTTTTTATCGTAGTTTGATTGTTGTTGTTATTGTCACGTTAAATTTTCTGTTATTATTTTTGTCAAGATGTTTGAAAAGAAAGATTTAACACTATCAACAACTGGCGTTTTCTTTAATTTACTCTTTTCATATTTTTCAGTTGAAACTATGGAGTAACTGCGGCGGAAAGCTGCTCGGCAGATATCGGATCCTGTTCGTTTCTTCACGAAGATACGGGTAACTGCGGCGGAAAGCTGCTCGGCAGATATCGGATCCTGTTCGTTTCTTCACGAAGATCCTTTCAATCGAAAAGATGCTATTGTAGACTGAACGAAAAACCGCTCTATACATAATATGTTGGGGTGCTGTAGTATCTGTCTGGACACGTACTACTACTTCTACTTGACAAACAAAGAAATTGGATGATTTCTGTTACATTCTACTGAAACAGTTTATAGGAAGATACCAACACTGTTACATCCGTTTAACACTACTTTTCTCCATGATTTCTGTTACATTCTACTGAAACAGTTAAACAGTTTATTAACAGTGTTGGTATCTTCCCAGTGTTGGTATCTTCCCATAAACTGTTTAACTGTTTCAGTAGAATGTAACAGAAATCATGGAGAAAAGTAGTGTTAAACGGATGTAACTACGTGGATTGTTATATCCGTTTAACACTACTTTTCTCCATGATTTCTGTTACATTCTACTGAAACAGTTAAACGGTTTATGGGAAGATACCAACACTGTTATACGTGGATTGTTATATCCGTTTAACACCACTTTTCTCCATGATTTCTGTTACATTCTACTGAAACAGTTAAACAGTTTATGGGAAGATACCAACACTGTTATACGTGGATTGTTATATCCGTTTAACACCACTTTTCTCCATGATTTCTGTTACATTCTACTGAAACAGTTTATGGGAAGATACCAACACTGTTATACGTGGATTGTTATATCCGTTTAACACTACTTTTCTCCATGATTTC